GTGCGGGAGGGAAGAGGAACGATTGGTGGAATGATGATGTAAAGAGAGTAGTAAGGGAGAAAAAGTTAGCATATGAGAAGTTTTTACAAAGTAGAAGTGATGCAAGGAGGGAAGAGTATATGGAGAAAAAGAGAGAGGTTAAGAAAGTGGTGAAGCAATGTAAAAAGAGAGCAAATGAGAGAGTGGGTGAGATGTTATCAACAAATTTTGTTGAAAATAAGAAAAAGTTTTGGAGTGAGATTAACAAGTTAAGAAAGCCTAGAGAACAAATGGATTTGTCAGTTAAAAATAGGAGAGGAGAGTTATTAAATGGAGAGTTAGAGGTATTGGGAAGATGGAGGGAATATTTTGAGGAATTGTTAAATGTTGATGAAGATAGGGAAGCTGTGATTTCGTGTATAGGGCAAGGAGGAATAACATCTTGCAGGAGTGAGGAAGAGCCAGTTGTGAGTGTGGAGGAAGTTCGTGAGGCAGTAGGTAAAATGAAAGGGGGTAAGGCAGCCGGGATTGATGGGATAAAGATAGAAATGTTAAAAGCAGGTGGGGATATAGTTTTGGAGTGGTTGGTGCAATTATTTAATAAATGTATGGAAGAGGGTAAGGTACCTAGGGATTGGCAGAGAGCATGCCCGAAATGCCTAGCCATGCTAAGCGTTCTAGTGGTACACTCTGTAATCACAATTTTACTATATGTAAACCAAACAATAACCGAATTTCTGTAAACTCAGCATTGTAATCCTTATAGAGAATAAACTTTGAATTTGAATAAAGGCAAAGGGGGTAAAAGAGAGTGCAAAAATTATAGGGGGATAAGTCTACCTGGTAAAGTGTATGGTAGAGTTATTATTGAAAGAATTAAGAGTAAGACGGAGAATAGGATAGCAGATGAACAAGGAGGCTTTAGGAAAGGTAGGGGGTGTGTGGACCAGGTGTTTACAGTGAAACATATAAGTGAACAGTATTTAGATAAGGCTAAAGAGGTCTTTGTGGCATTTATGGATTTGGAAAAGGCGTATGACAGGGTGCATAGGGGGGCAATGTGGCAGATGTTGCAGGTGTATGGTGTAGGAGGTAGGTTACTGAAAGCAGTGAAGAGTTTTTACGAGGATAGTGAGGCTCAAGTTAGAGTATGTAGGAAAGAGGGAAATTATTTCCCAGTAAAAGTAGGCCTTAGACAAGGATGTGTGATGTCACCGTGGTTTTTTAATATATTTATAGATGGGGTTGTAAGAGAAGTGAATGCGAGGGTCTTGGCAAGAGGCGTGGAGTTAAAAGATAAAGAATCACACACAAAGTGGGAGTTGTCACAGTTGCTCTTTGCTGATGACACTGTGCTCTTGGGAGATTCTGAAGAGAAGTTGCAGAGATTGGTGGATGAATTTGGTAGGGTGTGCAAAAGAAGAAAATTAAAGGTGAATACAGGAAAGAGTAAGGTTATGAGGATAACAAAAAGATTAGGTGATGAAAGATTGGATATCAGATTGGAGGGAGAGAGTATGGAGGAGGTGAATGTATTCAGATATTTGGGAGTGGACGTGTCAGCGGATGGGTCTATGAAAGATGAAGTGAATCATAGAATTGATGAGGGGAAAAGGGTGAGTGGTGCACTTAGGAGTCTGTGGAGACAAAGAACTTTGTCCTTGGAGGCAAAGAGGGGAATGTATGAGAGTATAGTTTTACCAACGCTCTTATATGGGTGTGAAGCATGGGTGATGAATGTTGCAGCGAAGAGAAGGCTGGAGGCAGTGGAGATGTCATGTCTGAGGGCAATGTGTGGTGTGAATATAATGCAGAGAATTCGTAGTTTGGAAGTTAGGAGGAGGTGCGGGATTACCAAAACTGTTGTCCAGAGCTCTGAGGAAGGGTTGTTGAGGTGGTTCAGACATGTAGAGAGAATGGAACGAAACAGAATGACTTCAAGAGTGTATCAGTCTGTAGTGGAAGGAAGGCGGGGTAGGGGTCGGCCTAGGAAAGGTTGGAGGGAGGGGTAAAGGAGGTTTTGTGTGCGAGGGGCTTGGACTTCCAGCAGGCATGCATGAGCGTGTTTGATAGGAGTGAATGGAGACAAATGGTTTTTAATACTTGACGTGCTGTTGGAGTGTGAGCAAAGTAACATTTATGAAGGGGTTCAGGGAAACCGGCAGGCCGGACTTAAGTCCTGGAGATGGGAAGTACAGTGCCTGCACTCTGAAGGAGGGGTGTAAATGTTGCAGTTTAAAAACTGTAGTGTAAAGCACCCTTCTGGCAAGACAGTGATGGAGTGAATGATGGTGAAAGTTTTTCTTTTTCGGGCCACCCTGCCTTGGTGGGAATCGGCCAGTGATAATAATAATAAAAAAATAATAATAATATAATAATACTATAATAATAATTATAATAATAATAATATGTAATAATAATAATAACAAGCGAGCTTCAGAACACCACCACGAGCTGGCAGACTGAGTACCACAACAACAACACATGCATACTCACGGTGGAAGAAATTCTTGTGTTTTCCTTATGTTTCGTGCAGTTATTTTGCCAAATTTCTTTTTTCTAACCATAGGTCCTAAGAAAGCAAGTGCAAAGGACATGCTGAGAAGAAAAAGAGTATGATAACTATGGAAGTAAAGCTTGAAATCATAGAAAAATACGAACGAAGTGTGAGGGTAGCGTACCAGCGTAGCACTTTTACGATATGCACAATACTAAAGCAGGAGTCTATAAAGGCTATAGTGTCAGCAAATTGTAACAGTTAAGTTCAGTGATAAGATGTAGCATTAAGAGTGTATCAATTAAGTTAAGAGATTAAGTGAAAGCATCTCTTCTCCATAATCACCCTCCACAAGCATCTCTTCTTCACCATCAACCTTTGCAAGCATCTCTTCTCCACCATCAACCTCAGCAAGCATCTTTTCTTCTCCATCATCAACCTCCGCAAGCATCTCTTCTTCACCATCAACCTTCGCAAGCATATCTCCTTCACCATCGAGAAATCTCAGCAAGCATTTCTTCTCCAAGGTAAATGCTGTAGTACTACATACACCAGTTTCTTTACATTATGTTTTCCTAATGAAACTACATAGTGATCTAATACAGTTAGCCTTCACAAACACTCCATTTTCACTTGTAATAAGAGCATGGGAAGATACTAAAGTCAGTGGGAGAGTAAGTGGTGGATGCTGCCGCCATTGCCGTCACCACCATCACTCGCCATGTTATGGCCTATTTTATTCATTCTAGAGTATATATTGTGTTTCTGTGTTATTAATATTGTTTATTATGTCATATTAGATGAATTTTGATAGATAAATAAGCTGTAGAGTTGATATTAGTGAAATATTGAAATATTTTGTCATGCCTCCTGAGAGCCAGAACGGATTAACCCTTTCAGGGCCCGTGCCGTAGATCTACGGTTATATGTTGAGGGTCCAAACTGTAGATCTACGCCATGAGCTCAGCTCACTCTGATAAGCTGTGAGCGGTAAATTTGGGCCTGGATATGAGAGAATACATCTATGTGGTATGTGTGCACCACATAAAAAAAATCCTGCAGCACACAGTGCATAATGAGAAAAAAAACTGAGACTGTAATTTTCGATCAAAACAGCGACTTTGCTGTGTTTTTTCATATGCTTTTTATAGTTATATTTGCGATTTCTTGGTCTCATTTGATAGAATGGAAGATATGTTACAAAAATAGAGAAGATTTTGATTGGTTTTAGTAATGGAAATCACTTGAAACTGAGCTCAAAGAAGCAGAAATGTTAAATTTTTGCCGATGTTCAAGAGTAAACAAATGACCTCACACGTTTAATACACGCCAGCTGGTGGGTCTAGTATACATTCACAAATGTGGTGATATTATTTATACAATTACATGTATTACAATATTGCATAACAGTAAATCTTTATTTTTTGGTTTGAATAAAAATTCATTATGTGAATAAAATATCAAAATGAAATTCATTTGTAAAGCCTGAAAACATAACTAATGAACAGGGGAATTGTTAGTTTAGTGCCAGGAATGATTGTATTGTTTATTCTGGACCCTATTTTGAAATTAGAATATTTTGAACTTTGCATTAAACTGGACAAATTACTAATTTCCGATCACTTTATTTTGTAGTTGAAACAGTTAAGTTGGCAATTTCTTGTGCTCAATCGATAGAATAGAAGTAATACTAGTGAAATAGCTAAGAATTTGGTCAACTGGAATAATGTAATTGGCCTAAAATGGGAGTCAAAGTCAGCAAAATCGCCGATGCGTAAATATCGCTGACGCATCAAAATTCATGAGAGCATAATTTCGTCAATTTTCCATCAAATTTCGTACTTTTTGTTTTATTACCTTCAGAAAAAGATTCTCTAGCATTTAATAAGAAAAAATAACAAAATTATTTTTTTAAAATTCTTGGACCCTGGTGCACACTTTGAAATTTGGCCTCTGGACCCTGAAAGGGTTAATGGCTTTTCAATTAATTTAAATGAGGAAAATTGACTCAGCATACGAACAAATCAGGATACGAACAAGGTCATGGAACGGATTAAGTTTGTAAGCTGAGGTTCCACTGTACTAATATACACACTGTGATTTTTAACACAATGACCATTTTCTTATTTACTCCTTGGACTGCTGTTATCTACCACCCTACCCTACTACCAATGCATGAACGTGTAAATTTAAAAAAAATATGCATCAACTACAATGATCAAAAAAACTCATTGTCATATACACCATTCTTAAAATGTTTGATTTATTGCAGATACATGAGTCTCAGAAATACTGCGGGTTTTTCACAGTTTGGCAAAACTGTAATACTGTACTGCATATTGGCTGTGCTAGACCTTTAAAGAGGCTTCAAAAATGATACTTCAGCATAAACCTCTTTTAAAAAAGGTCACTTAACAAATCAGATACTTAGTAAACAAACCACAGTATGGGTGGGGGTTAGAACTCTTGACAAGTTAGAACTCAGGCGAGTGCATAAGCCACTGGACCAGCTAGCAGTACTAACCTTTAAAGTCATCATGACAAGTGAAGTCACCAACCAACATGGAAAGAAAAGTGCTGAGAAATATATAACCATCTGAAGTGACAGACTGGATACCACTTCATTTCCTGGAAAATAAATGGAGAAATAAGCATTAAACAATTATACATTACATGTGTTACAGCCTGACTGGCAACATCCCAATGAAGCTACTTCATTCCTACAAGACAGTGAAAAGCATTAATAAGGAATTTCTAAAATGCATACAATCAACTAGAGAAGATACTTTTCTTAACAAGATTTCATGGAAGCAAAAGTAGTGAATATAGTTGCCCTCATGTGTTGATTTCCTGCAGACTATGAATTCTAAGTTAGTGTTGTTCCATATAGTGAGTATATCCAAGAAAGGGACACATACATCCTTTTTTCATTCATGCTTGATACTAAGTTTAGTCAATCAAAGAAAGCGCTGAGGTCACCAAGTTGTTCAGCTGTTACTGGACCCACCACATGACTAGCTGAAGTTGAGCTAGCTCCTGGACCTACCACATAACTAGCTGAAGTTGAGCTAGTTCCTGGACCTACCACATGTATAGATGAAGAAACAGAGCTACAGTTTCTGGTGGCCTGGTGGTTAAAGGGCTCTGGTGGCCTGGTGGTTAACGCTCTCGCTTCACATGGTGAGGACCTGGGTTCGATTCCCAGCCAGAGTAGAAACATTGGACGTGTTTCTTTCCACCTGTTGTCTATGTTCCCCATCAGTAAAATGGGTACCTGGGTGTTAGTCGACTGGTGTGGGTCGCATCCTGGGACACTGACCTAAGGAGGCCTGGTCACAGACCGGGCCGCGGGGGCGTTGACCCCCGGAACTCTCTCCAGATAAACTCTCTCTCCAGATAATGTCTAGCTGAAGAAGTCGAGCTACACTTCTTGACCAACCATATCCCTAGCTGTTTGAGTAAGGTTGACAAATAGATAAGAGAGATGAGTAGTGGCCAGATATGGTGGACCTGCAAGGTAAAAGGAAGGTGGTTCTTATCAAGTTTTACAGTCAGTGAGGAGAGGGAGGTGGATTGTTTTACTGCAAACCACATTTACTAGACACCCATCACACATTACGGGTTTGCTGTTATATTACATTACACATAATGAGTTTCATATTTGAGGTATTATACAGTTGTGATTTTCCACCTTATAATACTCTACACTTATGATACTGGCATTTTCGAACCAATTACTGTACTGCAATTGTGAATGCTGATCTGCAATTATGATCACTGCAAATATTCAAAGAAATTTTAAATGGATAATTTTTCAGTTTGTATACTAAATAAATTCTTTGCATGTTCATTTTTCTTGCATGTACAGAGCTCGCAATACAGTATAATCAGCCTTATTATAATTATTATATTCATAAGAAAGTGCTAAACCCATGAGGGTTACACAAAGCCTGTTAGGGAATGGAGAGGCCTACAGGGGACAATAAAAACGACATCAGCTAGAAGCTACAGAAAAGAAACACTGGTATATAGGCTAAACCATTGTGATAATATATTGCATGAACATAATTGATGCTTGGGAAACATTCAGAACCATGTCCACTGCCATCCTTGATAATACTGCACCAGTTAAAGAGGTTAGGATTAAATGAAGAACTGAACCCTGGATAACTGCCGAGATATTAGATAATATCAAATTCAGGGATCAGCTGCTAAAAATATTTAGGACATAATGACAGGATATTACAGCGCTAAATGAATTCGAAAGGGTAAGGAACAGAGTGCAGAGGCTTATAAAAGGAGCAAAGGCAAGGCACTATTGTTCAAAAATCGAAGAACAACCCTAGAAAGCTCTGGCAACAACTGTAAAACTGGGGTTTAGACATAAACCAATATATAGATTTAACAGAGTGCTAAATATCGATAATGCGGTATGCCATGAAACAACTAAAGTGGCAAATTGTTTCAATTCATTCTACACAATTATTGCATTAACATTAGTTAGTAAACTGCTTGTTGCATCAAATACCTTTAACACATAGTCCAATAAATTTAAAACTTACTACAGTAATAAAGGCATCACCCTAAACAGTTGCCAACTAGTAGGTATAGTTTATGACTTCGTGCTAAAAGAATTAAATAACTGAAACCCAACTAAAAGCACTGGGCCAGATAACATCCCAGCCAAATTCCTAAAAGATGGAGGCTCTGAATTACCAATCCCCATTGCATACATAAATTTATCCATCACTACTAATACTGTTCAGGAGGGGATTCAAGGAGGCCAGAGTTACTCCTATCTTCAAGAAAAATAGTAGGTCTGACATCAGCAAATATAGGCCTATACACAACTAACCCGCACATAGGATAGAGGAGCTTACGACGACGTTTCAGTCTGACTTGCACCATTTACAAAGTCAAGCTAACAGAAAGGAAAGGAGACTATATATATAGGCCAGCAGACAGGGACGGGACAAGAGAGGTAAATGTGGTGGTGGAGGCGGCAGCAGCGGCGACGGCAGCGGCAGCAGTAATAGTAGTCAGTCAAAGACCAAGAAAGAGGAGCACTGCACTGCCTTCTTCTTTCCTTTCTGTTAGTGTGACTTTGTAAATGGTCCAAGTCAGACTGAAACATTTTCTTAAGTTCCTCTTTCCTATGTGCAGGTTATATGTGTACTGTGTACTGTATGTTTACTGTCACAGTATTGTGCCTTTGTGTTAAATACGTATAGGCCTGTTAGCATACTCAGTGTGATGTCCAAAATTGTAGAGAAGGCAGTATACTGTCATGTAGTTAAGTATCTTATTGACAAAAACATTCTCCATAGTTACCAATCAGGTTTCAGGAGATCTTATTTGGTAAGTATGTTTATTCAGGTACAGGTATACATAAATACAGTTACATAAATAATCATACATGGCAGCATATGTGTAGATTACCTAGGATAACCCCAAAAAAAGTCAGACAAAGTGACTTACCTCCATTGGGGGTCCTTGTAATATCTTATTATTTAAACCTTAAAAGTTAAAACAACTATGTAACTCAGCTATGTGAAAAGTAATTACAATAAAAGAAGACATACTAGGAATAAGGAAAACTCGATTGCTAGTGCACTCAGTTCACACACTGAGGTCCGGACTTCAAATCTTTGGTACGGCTGGAAAACATTAGGAACATGTTTCCACAAGACACCTGCTGTCCCTGTTCACCCATCAGTATAAAATGGGTATCTGGGTGTTAGTCGGCTGGTGTGGGTTGCATCCTGGGACAAAACTGACCTAATTTGCCCAAAATGCTCAGCATAACAAGAGGCTTTCTATATAGAAGTATGTTACTGATGTTAGCTAGGCCTGTATACTTTTAACATGTACTTGTAGAAATAAAGATATTATTATTATTATGACTATTATTATTATGACTATTATTATTATTATTATTATTATTATTATTATTATTATACTTTTACATTAAACAGAGGAACAGATCACAATAATATGTACATGTCACAGTAATAGGTACATGTATGTTAGCCATATAAGAAATCACTCTCCTCCCTTTCCATAGCTTCATTCATTAGGAACCTTTTAGCTTGACCAACACCACCCTAATTAATCTGATGGACTACCTGAGAACTCAAATATCGCTAGGGAATTTCATGGGTATGGTGACCTTAGACTTGCAAATGGCCTTTGATATGGTCAACCATAATATATTATGTAAGAAACTACAAGCTATCGGCATAGGTTCTGTAGACTGGTTTAAGTCATACCTGAGCAACGGTAAACAAATTGTCGAGCTCAAACACACAGAACCAAAACCCCTACTGACAGCATGTGGGGTTTCTCAAGGTAGACTCTGGGTCCTTTACTGTTAATATGTTATGTGTATGACATGTTCATCATTGTCAAGTGTAAGCTTCTGTTGTATGCTGATGACAGCACACTGTTAGTGTCAAGTAAAGACCCACAAGATATAGCTAATGTACTATCACTAGAACTAGAGTCCTGCAGCAAATGGTTAATAGACAACAAACTATTTATACCTCAGGAAAACAAAAGTCATACTCTTTGGCATGAACAGTAAATGAAAAGGATAAAAAAAATTTAATGTCCAGTGTAATGGGGAATTCATCACTTTTGTATCTTCAGTGAAATATTTGGACATCCCCTTTGACTCAAGCAGGCCAGGAGAATTGATAGAGAATAGTGTGTAGTAAAGAAAGCCAATGCCAGACTAAAGTTCTTCTATAGACAGGCACAGTGTCTACCTACTGAGGCTTGCAGGACCCTATGTCTAGCTCTTGTACAATGCCATATAGATTATTCATGCTCTTCTTGGTACTCTGCCTTAACAAAACACTTAAAGACAGACTACAAATCACCCAGAACAAAATGGTGAGACTCACCTTGGACCTGGGTCCAAGAGAGTATGTACGTCAGGATAAATTACATAACCTATGTATATGAATTCACACAAAAAGCTTGGTAGGGTGCTTGTGTCTTGGTTGATAGCATCCTCAGCTCACACACTAAGGATCTGGGGATCAATCTCCATCATGCGAAATACTGGACATGCTTCCTTACACCTGCTGCCCATGTTCACCTAGTAGTAAGTAGGTACCTGGGTGCTAGACAACTACTGTGGGTCACATCCTGGGAGAGAAAATTAAAGGACCCCAATGTAAATAGGTGTCCCGTAGCTCAGTTGGTAGTGTGAAGAGCACTAGAGTTGTGAAGATTCTGGAGCACAGACAAGAAGGCTGGTGCTTATATACGATCATGTGGAGACAAGGGACGGGTAGTAGATAAGGGCCTAGTTACTGGTAGGTGTGATTCTCCAGTGGAAGTAGGTCATACACAAGGGATGGGTTGGGGGTAGTAGCAGTAGTAGCTGTGAAGAAGATTATGTAGATGTCCTCTGAATTAAGATTCCAAGATGCTGTGGTGTGTGACAAGTTGTACATGAATGGTATACAATATCCAAGTTGCCCAAAATGCTCTATATAGTATGTCACTGATGTCAGCTACATCTGTATAAGTTGTATCATGTACTTATTGAAATAAATATTATTATTATTATTATTAATATTATTATTAAGACACTGTCCCCAATGACCTACCTGACTTTACTGGGTTATCCTGGGTGGCTAACCCTCAAGGGCAAGAATCTGAACAAATTCTTATCCCAATGAAAAGCAGTTTTAATCCAAGGGACAGGTTGATAGGTCCAATTCCTTGGATCAAGAACTGACATTTAACAAGGCACCTCCTTTGCGTTAGCAAGTTGATTCAAATACAGGTAAACATAAATACAATTACATAAATTATCAAACATAGCATCATATGTGTATATTACGCAGGATAACCCAAAAAGTCAGAAGTGACTATTTCCAGTAAGAGGACATACCATAAGAACTATCACCAAGCTGGCTGAACGAAACACCAGGGAAGAATTTCCCTGTTAAGGTCTCCACTGTGTTGGATAAGAAGTATCTTGCAGTCCCCTGGACCCCAGACATGTGACCTATTCTCAGACTTTTTTTTTTTTTTATCACGAACACCGCAAATTCTTGTTGTTGTTGTGTTTATTAGGGCCACTGACGCCTTATGCCGTACCGAGCTCTGCCTTCCAGCGCTCGGAAAAGGAACCTCGACCGAAGTGGAAGGATGTTTGACCAATACAGGCCAAGATCTCCTGACGGTCTGGAGGGTCAAACCCCTCTCTGTTGAGAAGGAGGTAGGGTTAAAGATTGTACTTACTTACTTATCCAAAAGTGCGTACGGCCGCACGGAGAACAGTCCGTGCAGTGGTAACGTGGACACCATAGTAGGAAGTGTTCCACTGTCTCAGGCTGTGAGGGACACCACGGGCAGTACGGAGAGTCCGTCATCCGAAGGCGGTGTGGATGAGCTGCCAGTCGTGAGTGCCGAACATGGAGGCGAGTCAGTGCAAAATTCACTGAGCGAGTGGGATGGCGAGTTCAGTGCCGAAGAACTGATAACCAGTGCAATATTATATTGTCAAACTTGTGCCATAATAAGAATTATAATCCTTGTATTTTATAATTACTTATATAATCTAGTATTATAAACTTTTGTTTCTCTTATTGCATTTTATTGTGTTCATTAAACATCTGTTCAACATCTTCACCTTCGTCAAACCCTAAAATTATAACAGTTCAATATTAATTCATCAAATCTGTTCCTTATAAAGAGGAAACTAATTCTGTATTTTTTTAAACACTAGTGTAACAATCCATTAGCTAGTAAGATAAATTAGTTAAGTATCTTAATTATTAAGTTCAACACATTACTTATTCTAAAACCTAGTTGTTAGAGTCACTCTCATTCTCATGTTTATAAACATAGATCCAGATTTTAACCTTTTATTAAATGACTTACACGAATCAAACAGTAACTGTAATTATTATACAGCAGACCAAGCTAAGACTTTACTCAAGAGCTAACAATAACATAACTATCTTTCATTACAATGTCAGATCCTTGAGCAAACATTACGGTGACCTCACAGCATTACTCAATTCCTTTAATTCCAGTATGTCAATCATCACACTCACAGAAACTTGGCTAAAGCCTGGCACTACAGATGTCTATGCCATTCCTGGATGCACAGCCATACACAACTGTAGGACAGACCAGCAAAGGGGTCGACAGCTATATATTACTCAAATCAACTTGACTGTATCAATAATTCTTGCACAAGGGATGAGCAAAAACCTGTAAAAAAACCCTCGCAGTCATATTATTAATATAATCAAAAAGAAGCGCTAAGCCACAAGGGCTATACAGCGCTGCTGTGGAAACTTATTTGGTCCCTAAAGTTCCACAGGACCGATCTGACATGGCCGTAATGGAACGGCTGAGCTGGGTGGCCCTTAAACTTACCCAAACAAAAGGCGTTCTCCCCAATCATAAACACATTTCTCTCCCCGGGGGGGGGGGCGTGGATGGTAGGCACTTATTTATTTATAGATTTACCCTTCAGAGAAGGAGTAGGTAGTTTTACTGTTAGTATATTAATATTAGATTTACTAAGGCAACCGTAGATAATAATAATGTAGACCTAAGACCTTAACATAGGTAGTAATAGGCCGATAATATAGGCAAACACTTGGATAAGTTAGCTAGGGAAATCTGGCAGCCCTAGTTTGAACGAAGAGACGAGGGTCTGGAAGAGAGACCAGCTCGTTCTTCTGTAGACAGACACCAACTGGACGACACGTGCTGTGATCAGCAGACAGCGCCCCCCACGTGTCTTCACATTTGAGACCTTGGGGAAATGTGGTAGAGGCACCTCGATGTACCGTAGATGACCTCCACCGTCAGACCCATACAGTAAGACAAAACCTCCACTTTCTCTTAGGATTTCTGGCCAGTGTCTGGGGAAAAATTGTGAGTGAGTTGAACTGTAGGCCTGTATGCAACTGGCAGTGCATGCCCAGTACGTACCAGTGTCTCTTGTCTACCTAGAAGCTAGTGTCCGTGTCTGCATAGTTGTACTAGGGGATACACACCCCCTTGGATATAGGAATTTCTGAGGTGCAGGCAGGTCACTAATAACGATTGAATATTGCAGGAATTAAAGCTCCCGGTTGCACATGGTTTCTGAGGGGAAGTCCAAAGGAAGGTTGAAGATCAGGATATTTGCTGGAACACCAAGTAAGTTTGTCCTTTATACGTGCATGCAGGCAAGTTTCTTGCAACATCAATCATTTGTGAAAATCTGTCCTATAAGCCACTTGTGAGGCTGAGGTACCGACCTCAGAGCTCGGTGTCAACAGAGTTTGCCAGGGTAGGTGACTCACTTGGAGGCAGTCCAAACAAATTTTAACAGCTGCTCTCACAGTCATAAACATCTACAGAGTACCACAGTCAAACATTTACCACTTTAGTGAAAAATTAGGGAATTTGATAACCGATGCACATATGAACAAAAACCGATTAGTACTAATCGGAGATTTCAACATAAATCTACTAACCTGGAGTTTACCTGGAGAGAGTTCCAGGGGTCAACACCCCCGAGGCCCGGTCTGTGACCAGGCCTCCTGGTGGATCAGAGCCTGATCAACCAGGCTGTTATTGCTGGCTGCACGCAAACCAACGTACGAGCCACAGCACAGCTGGTCAGGAACCGACTTTAGGTGCTTGTCCAGTGCCAGCTTGAAGACTGCCAGGGGTCTGTTGGTAATCCCCTTATGTATGCTGGGAGGCAGTTGAACAGTCTCGGGCCCCTGACACTTATTGTATGGTCTCTTAACGTGCTAGTGACACCCCTGCTTTTCATTGGGGGGATGCTGCATCGTCTGCCAAGTCTTTTGCTTTCGTAGTGAGTGATTTTCGTGTGCAAGTTCGGTACTAGTCCCTCTAGGATTTTCCAGGTGTATATAATCATGTATCTCTCCCGCCTGCATTCCAGGGAATACAGGTTTAGGAACCTCAAGCACTCCCAGTAATTGAGGTGTTTTATCTCCATTATGCGCGTGTGAAGGTTCTCTGTACATTTTCTAGGTCAGCAATTTCACCTGCCTTGAAAGGTGCTGTTAGTGTACATCAAGAACTGCAAGAAGCCCCTATCACGAGCCTTTTCCATCCTATGGAGAGGGAGCATGGACACGGGGGTCGTCCCACAGTTACTAAAAACAACAGACATAGCCCCACTCCACAAAGGGGGCAGTAAAGCAACAGCAAAGAACTACAGACCAATAGCATTAACATCCCATATCATTAAAATCTTTGAAAGGGTCCTAAGAAGCAAGATCACCACCCATCTAGAAACCCATCAGTTAGTTAGTTAGTTTAATATGTTTATTATGCACCCCATACCCATCCTGTGGGCGGTAGTCAAAAGATTACAGAGGTACATAATGGGTCCAGGGACTGGGCCTCAAAGTTTTGAAGCTGAGCAAGTTACAGAGGTAATGAATTCACAATTTACAAAGGTAATGAACTCACAATTTACAAAGGTAATGAACTCCAGGTAGGTCTAGTCACAATCATGACAAGTTACAAAGGTATTTACAGATTACAGAGGTACACAATGGGTCCAGGGACCGGGCTCCAAAGTTTTGATGGCTGAACTAGGTACAAGGTAATGAACTCACAAGTTACAAAGTAATGAACTCACAAGTTAAAAAGGTAATGAATACTGTAAGAATGGTTACTTACGTTTATACATGGCTGCAATCATGAACAAATTTTAGAGTAATGAGCAATTCACACTTCCACACCCGGTCACAACTGTAGTGAGTTATTGGTGCAAATGTTGATTGCTGAGTCTCTCTCTCTCTCTCTCACACACACACATACAAATTCATACACACACACACACACACACACACACACACACACACACACACACACACACACACACACACCCCACACACACACACACACACACACACACACACACACACACACACAAAACCACAAACTCATACACACACACGCACACACACTCATACACACACACACACTCATACACACACATGCACTCATACTCACACACACACACACACACACACACACACACACACACACACACACACACACATGTATACTATCATCAGTGAAGAGTGAAGTGGGGAAAGCGGGATGTACGAAATATATGGTTATAATCATCACGGGTGAAGGATCTCCAAAATAGGGATTTAAGGCCTACGTACTACTTCGTCATCAGCAGCTGGCAACTGTCACCGCAAGTTTATTCGCCTAGTTGTGGTTTGCATGTTGACGGCCCTGGCTGGCCTTGCATACTGTTTGATACTGGTCACTCACTCCTGCAAAGCTATTACCAGAATTAGAATAGAAATAGCATAGACATAAGGGGAATAAAAGGGTTGACGAGTGTGGGAAGGTAGGTGGGACAAGCTTTTAAGGGCAACATTGTAAGACCGTGCTAGGGTAGGTCCCAGGAGGGTTGTGTCAGGTTACAAGAAGTTGCGGCCAGTAATTACACCGCACAAGCCACACGCACACACACACACACACACACACACACACAGAACTACTCTCAGTGTTAATGGTATCTCATTAGTATTACGGATACACAGAAGTGAATTGTATTTCTGGGACATATAAACAACTGATGTGCTCACACACACACACACGCGTGCACACACATACACACTCGGGGCCAGGAGCTGGGTCTCGACCCCTGAAACCACAACTAGGTGAGTACACACAGCTGATCCTTGGAATTTAAATGCCCCCCACAGACCTCTTACCCTTTTTCCCTCCCTCACGTTTCTCTCTCTCATAGCCTTCTTCCCTCCTTTCTCCCTCTCTCCCCTCTTTTCTCCCTCCCCCTCTCCCTCTCTTTTCCCCCTCTCACCCTTTTTTCCCCCTCACATTTCTC